CACATTTCAACATTAGTGTTGGCAGGAAGGTGGGGGGAAACAAATCATATCCGAACCACAGAAGTGATCCATTGGTACAAAGACCACATCAAGTTTTTTGTAAAAGAGGGTTTATCTCCAGACTTTTTGATAAAAACTCTCCATTAATATATACCAGCAAATGAGCCCACTAGGTGGCTAATTGCGACTTAACATGTTACTGAGCCTAAAGTGATCAAACAGTGCCACCGAGCCTTGGCTGTGCTGGGAATAGAAGTTTAATGATACATGAAGTATCACAGAGTGTTCTCATTTAAAGAGGAATTGTTTTCAGTGCCTACACCTTGAAAGTAATTCAATTTCATGACCAAAAGCATTTTTAAAAACTGCCACAATGATCGTGGTGCACCCAAAAAGCTGGACCCTGCAGAGAAGGTGCAATCTCAAAACAAACTACAGAGCCATAAATATATTCGTTTAGAAAAATACAAATAAACACGACCTGTGCTTCTATAGCATTTGCTGCGCACAAGACACAAGTCAAAGTGTTTCATATGTATTAGCTCATTTGATTGTCATAGTAACCCTCTGAGAGGTGATGATGATGATGATGATGACCCTAATTCTACAGAGAAGAAATTGAGACAGACACTTAAAAATTTTTACACAGACAGGCAAAGCTCTGATGACAGATACAGGTAGCGGTATATTATTTTTAAGTGTGATTAGTCTTAACTGAGAACATAATAATCTAATGCAGATGATATATCTATATTTTTATATTAGATTTTTATCAATAAAGATACTGTGAACAAAACACATCTAAAAACTCAATGGCCATACTGATTGTAGGAAGAAAATAAAAAACCAAGAGTTTATGCAGAAAGGCAGGTATCTCCAATGACACTAATGGCTGGAAGTTTCTTCTCTTCAAAATTTGGTCCAGTACATTCCATCATTTAAGAGGTTTTCATTTGTGATATGCAGAGATATTTCAACTCTGACTTAAGAATTTGGGAATGGGCTATTGTTGAAAATTAATTTCAGGTGGCAGTAGTTAAAACATCTGACCTGGCTCGGGGCCTGTGGCTCAAGTGGCTAAGGCGCCAGCCACATACACCTAAGGTGGCAGGTTCAAATTCAGCCCGGGCCCACCAAACAACAATGGCTGCCACCAAAAAATAGCCGGGCAATGTGGCGGGCGCCTGTGGTCCCAGCTACTGGGAGGCTGAGGCAGGAGACTCGCTTCAGCCCAGGAGTTGGAGGTTGCTGTGAGCTGTGATGCCACAGCACTCTACCCAGGGTGATAGCTTGAGGCTCTGTCTCAAAAATAAATAAATAAATAAAGCATCTGACCTAACACAAATGCAGTAAAACTAAAGGAAAATAAATACAGCCACATGCAGAAGAATGAAACAAGACCCCTATCTCTCACCACTCAAAAAAATTAAATCAAGATAGATAAAAGAAATTTGTAAGACATGAAACCATAAGAATTTGGTTTCTAATATTCTTCTTAGTAAAGTATCTCAGGAATGGAAAAAAATATATCCAATGTACTCAGTACTACTGTGAAACCAATTTACAATCACTCACACTTGCATATGAAAAATGAAACACAACTATAGTCTAGGATGAAGGAAAGAAGGGGAGGGAGAAAGGAGGGGAAGGGACGGGGGGTCAATAGAGTGAAGGTTAGTAGGGGGACCACACCTATGGAACATATTGCAAGTACAAGTTGGATCTATCAGGTATAAAACACAAATGTCGTAATGCTGTAATTGGGTAAATGAGGTGAAGGCTATGTTGATTAGTAGGACGTAAGCACTCCAATTTGTACAAATAATCAACACATTATCAACACATTGTATCCCATAATGACATAAATGTATTTATGATCTATATACAAATGACTTAACAAAAAAAGAATTTGGTTTCTAAAAGAAAATGTAGGAAATACTCTTCTAGATATCTGTCTAGGGAAACTCCATGTCAGTTACAGCAGGATCAAAAATAAATAAATAAATGAGACTTGATTAAATTATTAATAAAGAACTTCTACACCGCTAAGGAAATAACCAACAAAGCAAATAGATAACCTACAGAACGGGAGAAAATCTTCACTTTCTACACTTCTGATAAGGGGGCTCATAAGTAGGATCTGCAAAGAACTCAAACAAACCAGAAAGAAAAAAATTAACAACTCCATTAAAAATTTGGCAAAAACAGGAACAGAAGTTTTTCTTTCCAAAAGAAGATAGACAAGGGCCCAAGGAACATATGAAAAAGGCTCAAAATCACTAATCATCAGGGAATTGCAAATTAAAACCACCAAGAGCTATCTCCTTATTCCTGTCAGAATGGCATTTCTTAAAAACTCCAAAAACAATAGATGCTGGCACGGATGCCGAGAGAAAGGAACATTTACACCTTGTCAGTAAGCCAGCAAATTAATACAACCTCTACGGAAAACATTATGGAGATTTCTCAAAGAACTAGAATTACACCTATCATTCCATCCAGCAGTACTACTACTAGATATCAACCCAAAGGAAAAGAAGTCATTTTATCAAAAAGAGCTCTGCACTCCTATGTTTACTGCAGCACAATTCATAGTTGCAAAAATGTGGAATTGATCCAAGTGCCTGTTACTTCAGGGGCATATTAACAAAATACGGTACAAGTACACCATGGATTACTACTCAGCCATAAGAAAAGATGGCTTAACGCCTTTTGCACAACTTGGAAGGAAATACAGACCATTATCCTAAGTGACATAAATCAAGAATGGAAAAACAAACACTACATGTACTCTCTTGTAAATTGGAACTAACCAATGGGCACATAAGTACACAGAGGAAAGCGAAAGTCATTGGAAATCAAGCAGGGGGGGAGAGGGGAGGAAGCGTTGGGCAAATACCCACCTAATGGGTACAACGAACACTATTTGGATGATGGGCACACTTACTCATAGTCTGAATTTTCAGCCTGAGCAAATGGGATGATTGTGACATTACGGGAAGTAGGGAGCACAGAGGCACAAGTTGATTTAGAAAGAACATTATCTGGAACCGACTCTCTGTTGCTTATACGATACAATATATTTCTTCCTCTTGCTTATTTATTCAATAATTCACTGCTCAGGCAAATCTGACATAGGAAAAAGAAAGGATTCTCGTGTAATTTAGGTTCACTTCTTATAAATAGCTCCAGGAAAACATTTGGAAGTCAGAGTAATTAATGCCAGCTGCTGTAATAGATCAACACCCTTACCACGGCAGCCTCACACAGACAAATGCATTGCCTGCTCATATCACAGTTGAGCACTGCTGGGAAGCTGGCATGTGGAGGGAGTTGGAGGTGTGAGTTCTGCTTTGTGCAATCATTTGGAGGAACAGGCTCTTTTCATGCCGTGGTTCTGCCACCTGTAATACCAGGCTTCTCTTCTGTTGATCAACAGGAGAGAAAATATGCATGAGTAATGAGAGAGGTAATGCAGTAAGTCACTTCTGCTCCGGTGCCATTAGCTAGGATTCAATCAGTCCTAAGTCTCTTCCCAATTCTGGAGGTAGATCGAAGATATTAATCAGCACAGTGCTCGGGGATGATACTTAAAATTGTCCCAGTGACAAAAAGGAGAGAGAATAAACAGAATATCAAGGATTCCAAATCAGCTCTGAAATGACTTCTCTTATTTCCTTTATTATCAATAGATACAAACGATAGAGAGCTGAAATCCAAAGGACAAGACGCAGAATTTTATAACCTGGAGTTTAATTAATTTGAAAATTACTTTGCTACAGTCTTTCAAAACTGGCTTAAACAAAATATTCGAAAACTTCAGTCATTCACTAGCACATAGTCATCTTGGCTTGAACAAGTAAAATCGCCAGGGTATTTGTAGGTTTAATGTACAAAGCTTTCAACTATAGAGGCTAAAGAAAAATCATTGCTTTGGGAAAAAAAAAGAAACAACTTAGAATGTTGCCTAATTATTGATGTTTCCCCCTCAGCTCAGAATTACATTAATGCTTTGCAGGTTTAAAATATCATAAATAAAAAGGAAATTTCCCCAGCTTTGATAACAGGAACTCTACAAGGCATAAGTACCAGATATTAGTGCCTAAAACGTGAACATCTTCTGGAACCCCTGGATCAACTGTCGCTACCTGGATAGTTCTTCCAGCCATAGCACGTCTACCTGCCTTATCCTGATACTCCCTGCATTTCAGGTATTTTAAATTGAAGCATTACTGCCTAGGTTTTTAATTCAAAAAAATTTAAAAGGGTCAATAAATTCAGTATCCTGGCCACAATGGCAGTTTGTCTATTTCAGGAGCACAGGACAGCGTATTTTCCATTTTGTTTTATAAACACACACACACACACACACACACAATTTGTTGTGACATCGCACAATATTCTCTCGGGACCAAGCTGTTTTCCTTAAAAACTTGAAAGGAGCATTTCAGTGTCTCCCATCCTGCTTGCTCCCCGAAGCTTCTGCGTCTGGGTGAGCCTTGCCCTGCAGTTTGTATCTCTGAAACTTAGTGGCGGGCTCGCACACTCCTACCGCACCTGGATTGGTCAGAAGGAACCACAGGAGGAGCCACTCTGGTTTTTTTTTTTCCTCTACACCACAAAAACCCGCTGCCGGCGCCGGCGCTCCTAACACCAAGCAGCGCTGGGGCTGGAGACCTGGCGCGTCTCCCCGGCAGCCGGCGCGAGCGTGTGCGCACACACCCGTCTCCCGGTGGCTCAGCAGCTACGGGGAAAATTATTTTGAAAAAGACCCTGGATGCATAAGACTAAAGTTGAAGCGGAAGAGAGAAGGAAAAAGCGAAAGCGGACTCTTTCAGCCGAAAACGCGCGTGGTGCAGCCTGAGATTTTAAGTCGGTGATGATCAGAGCCCTTCCTAAAAGAGATTAAAAACTCCACTGCACGCCCTGGAGCTGTGACATTCATTCCCAGCAGGCATGCAGATGTCAGCCGCAGACCTTTCCGACAGGTGAAGCTCCCTGAGCCGGCAGATTAAGCGAATTCAGGGGGACGCGAGAGCCCTGGCGGCGCGATGAACGCCACCCACCAGCGCGGGATGCACACTTCTCTGCACTTCTGGAACCGCAGCAGCCTGGGACCGCACCGCAACGCCAGTGAGTCCCTGGGAAAGGGCTACTCGGATGGAGGGTGCTACGAGCAACTTTTTGTCTCTCCTGAGGTCTTTGTGACTCTGGGGGTCATCAGTTTGCTGGAGAATATCCTAGTGATTGTGGCAATAGCCAAGAATAAGAATCTGCATTCGCCCATGTACTTTTTCATCTGTAGCCTGGCTGTGGCTGATATGCTGGTGAGCGTTTCCAACGGATCAGAAACCATTGTCATCACCCTATTAAACAGTACAGACACTGACGCTCAGAGTTTCACAGTGAATATTGATAATGTCATTGATTCAGTGATCTGTAGCTCCTTGCTTGCGTCAATTTGCAGCCTGCTTTCAATCGCAGTGGACAGGTATTTTACTATCTTTTACGCTCTCCAGTACCATAATATCATGACGGTTAAGCGGGTTGGGATCATCATAAGTTGCATCTGGGCAGCTTGCACCGTCTCGGGCGTTCTGTTCATCATTTACTCAGACAGCAGTGCTGTCATCATCTGCCTCATCACCATGTTCCTCACCATGCTGGCTCTCATGGCTTCTCTCTATGTGCACATGTTCCTCATGGCCAGGCTTCACATTAAGAGGATCGCAGTCCTCCCGGGCACTGGCGCCATCCGCCAAGGCGCCAACATGAAGGGCGCCATCACCCTGACCATACTGATCGGCGTCTTTGTCGTCTGCTGGGCCCCTTTCTTCCTCCACCTGATCTTCTACATCTCCTGTCCCCAGAACCCATACTGTGTGTGCTTCATGTCTCACTTTAACTTGTATCTCATCCTGATCATGTGTAACTCCGTCATCGATCCTCTGATCTATGCACTCCGCAGTCAAGAACTGAGGAAAACCTTCAAAGAGATCATCTGTTGCTATCCCCTCGGAGGCCTCTGTGACTTGTCCAGCAGGTATTAAGTGGGGCTGGAGGAGAGACTAAAAACGTGCAGAAGAGACTTTCTCATCCTTACCCGACACCCACAGTGTATTTGGGCAACAGCTTTCTCTTCTGTGTAGGGCATGGGTTGAAAATATCCACTGTGTAAATTTCAGTTTATGATTTTTAAAAAGAAAAATGCACACACTCTGTATTATTTGCAATGCCATGCTACCTTTTGGCTGTAAAATGGTAATCCATGTTATAGATTATAGGCTCTGTGAATTTGCAAAAAAAAGAAAAAGGGAAAATGTCCTTATTAAAAGCTTAATAATGTCTCTTTCTTGTTACTTATTAAGGATTGACACTGCTTACTTTGGTAACATAGAAATCAGATCCTCATTAAATATATTCTAATAAATGCTTCCTAATATTATACTATACAACATGAAAATGTAGAGATTTGATTCTGGCATTTAAGGGGGAAATATTTATATGGTGGATGTGTAATCATTTTATAAATTAGCATCATCACTGAAATTTCAAGGAATTGGATAATTGTTTGTTCATCCTTCCTGTGTAGAAGTAGAGAAATGAAGTACTTCTTGAAAGAAAAACAGTAACTGTAAGAAAAATAGTGAGATTCTAAGTCATAAAACTATGTGTGTTTCTCAAAACCAGAAGATTCAGTTTCCCAAGCAAATTGTTTGATATTTTACCCAGGCAATTCAGTTTTAGGGGAAAAAATCTCATGAAGATTAAAGTATTTCGGAAAACCTAGGTTGTCATGTCAAGTTCAATTCCCTAATGCCAAACTATCCCCAAGTGCCATTAATTAAACAGAGAATGAGGTTGTTTATGCCCTTCTGCCAGGGGTCCCAGTGTCAGCTGAAAAGTCCAGAAAAGATGGGATTGGTTTGAGAGATCGGGCTTCCTATCTCTAAAGAATTGTATGAGTGGTACTGAATTCTTTCATATTTCACATGAAAGCAACTTGCTGTTTGTTTTTTTTTTTTTTTTGAACTGGAGTATAAATCCTGATTATCAAGAATTTTAACTTTCAAAACCATATTCATAGCACAAAGGTTTGTGCACACTACTTGCAGAAATCAATAAAGGCACCTGTGATACTAGTATATCCTAAGTAAGAAAAAAGGCACCTCCTGAATCCCAGAGGACATAATGAAATCAACTACCTGTCTACAAGCACATCTTGGGGAGTAAATACTTATTTCATTCCAAAAATAATAGCACTGATTTTGCCAAGGACCAATAAAATCTGTACTGTACCTTCCAATTTGTGTGTACTAAAAATAAAAAGACAATATATTAGGCCGAGGATTAGCAGTAAGCTATCCTGTGATTAAATTTATAGTATCTTTAAAGGCTTATGGGCAGAGGTCACATGCAAAACTATTTCTTAGTTAAAATCTAAAGATCTTACACACTGATTATAAGCCCTGATAAATACCTTCAATAGTCTTATGCAAAATCACATTGAAGTATATAGAGTTAAGTTTACAAATGAAAAGTGGTGCTGAAACTTAATTTTAACTCCACTGCAGTTCCTGTGTTTCAAAGCCAAAACTAGTGTAAGGATTTAAATATAGACTAATATAACAGTCCTAGCCCAAGGCAGTAGAGGAACACAGATGGTGTGTCTGTCATTGGTACTATTTTTATTTATTCTTTCACATAAGGATTCGGAGAAATCCCAAAGGCTGAAGATGTGAAAAAGAGCATTGTACATGTAAGCATGCCATCTCTTCTGTGGTGGCTGTCCTTCCAGTACATTCTATTTCTCCTTCAAGCGTCATCTCAGGGGCTCAGAAGGCAATCTTGGCTCCTTCTACAGGTTCACACTTTCTCCTGGAGCTATGTACAGTGTTAAGTTGACCAGTCACAAACCAGCCATGTACCACCAGCCTATGTGCCCTGGGCATCACAATGGCCTTTAGTTCTTTTAATTGCTGAGGTTTTCTGTCTTTCACTCATTTTTCTTATTCTTAACACCTTCCTCCTTTTCAGTTACTTCCTTCAGTAAAAATCAAAATCCCCCCAGAGGAACAGGCCTTATCCAAGCCACCGCTAAACTCCGTTCCATATCCAGTGAAATTTGGAGCCCCACCATCTCTTCTAGTTTGATTGTTACTGGATTAAACTGGGGTAATGCTGTGGTTTGAAAGCTGTAGATTAAGGACAAATATTCAGTATCAGGACGGTGGTAAGTGGAGACTGAGAACGGGGCTGCAGGTTTGGGGGAGAGAAGCCTGAAGTGAACAAAATGAAGACCCCTAGGGACCATGACTGCTGGAACCACAGAGGAGGTAGTCACTCTAACTGGGCACCTTTAAATACATTAAGAACAAAAAACCTCATAGAACTGAATGAGACCTTTCACCCTGGGAAAAGGGGATTATATGTGCCCCCTTCATCCTACATCTGAGAGCAACACGTTGTTGGGACATCACTTTAGAAATTATCCAACCACAATATTTGGATTCCCAATTGGCTCCCAGACCTGGCCAGTTCCACGTTGTGGTCTCACTTTCCCTGCTGTGCAGTCATCTGCCTCCCCTACTTGCATTGCAAGCTCCTTTGAGAATAGGGAGTCTATACTCATGGCTTTCCTTCCCACTATGCCTGGTCATAGTGGAGACACATAGAGGAGACTAATATATATCAGATCAAAATGTAAATAAAATATTCTTGATTTTTGGAAGGGGTTTCCCAAGTAGCTTCAATGTGGCATCTTTGATGCTGTGTCCAATTCAGTGGGCAATGATGAGAGGCTGGGGCTGAGTTTCCTTCTACAGCAGCTATCCAGACATCAGCCCCTGGCCCTGCCTGACTGCCGTTAGAGCAGGACGGAGCCACCATGGTTCACGGGGGAAGCAACTGGGTTAGGCAGGAAAGTGATGTTTGTTTATGATAAGCAGGAATGGGGGAAACCTCTGGCCACGCTTCTGAAAATCCATGATCAGCACATGTAGAGATGTGTAATCATGATGTTAATGAGGAAACACGGTGAGGTCTGTTATATTGGGTACTCTTGGTTTACTGCGGACTGTAGACTAATTAGCCATTGTTTTCACCATATCAAGCATGCGTCATTTCAATTAGTGTGTTAGAAGTCAGAGCTATTTGTGACTAAAGACAGCGCCATTTCTGAAACTCACAACAAAAGAGAACTGCTTTCACACATAAAGTGTCCCTTGGGAATAAACACATGCGAACTAGAGCAAGTGGAAACCAAAGTAGCCCTTATGTCTATGCCACCCCATTCCTGCCCCAGAGAAGTACCGTCAAGAAAATTGAGTTTCAACACATGGCGTAGTCTACAGGCCCCAAAGCATTCATTCCTCTCTTGTGCTGAATTCACAAATTGACATCTTGCTGCCTTTCAGCCAATAAGATTGAGGGTGACTGAACATCCTAATTGAGAAGGAAAGCAAAAGGAATGGAAGGGAAAGAGAAATAAAGGACGGAGAAAATGTTTACCAGGCTTTGAATTAGTTTTCCCCATCAGCCTGATGAATAAATAAATAAATAAATAAATAAATACAAGATGTCATAAAATATGCACTCACGGGCAGGAGTTTTCAACACACATTAATTCAACCCTCTCATGGCTCAGAATTCCCTCCTCAGGAGGTTTAAGATGCAAGGTGGTTCAAAGAAGTTACGAAGGACTGTCTTGTAGCCCAAGTGTTTATTAGGATCATAACATTCCATCATTATTAGGTTGTAAAAATATTGGTAAGTGGGAGATATGGGGATAGCTTATGATAACTTTATGATACATAGCAGACATCTTTTGTTCTAATATCTATCTGGTAATTAACTTTTGGGAAAAAATAGTACTTTTAGGTTTATCGCAAGATTGAACAGAAATGACAGAGATTTCTCATGCATTTGTTTCCCTACACCTGCTGAGCCTCCCCCATAATCAACATTCCCCATCAGAGTTGTCCTTTGGTTACAAATGATGAACCAACATTGACAAATCATAATCACCCAAAGCTCATAGTTCATCGCAGGGCTCACCCTTTGTGTTGGATATTCTGTGAATCCGGACAGAAGTATAGTGACATGTATTCACCTTATAGTGTCACACAGGGTAGTTTCACTGCCCTAAAACTCACCTATGCTCTGCCGATTTATTCCTTCCTCTCCTCTAACATTGACTAGCATTGATTTTTTTACTATCTCCACAGTTTTGCCTTTTCAGAATGCCACATAGTTGAAATCATATAGTATGTAGCCTTTTCAGGTTGGCTTCTTTCACTTTTTTAACTGAACTATGCATTTAATTTTCCTCGGGTCTTTTTCATGGCTTGATAGCTGATTTCCTTTTAGCACTGAATGATACGCCACCATATGGATGTACCACAGCTAATCCAATCATGTACCAAAAACCATCTTGATTGCATCCAAATTTTCGAAATTATGAATAAAATTGCTATAAATACATGTGTTTAGGTTTTTGTGTAGAAAACATAAGTTTTCAACTCTTTGGGGTAAATATCAAAGAATAGCAATTAAAACTTCAGTACAAATACTGTGATGCATGTGGCTATCCTTTAATCTTTTAAGGGTAATTAAAGTTCAAATTATGGTGGTCAGTAGTATATGTTTTAGACACATCTGGTAAACATTGTCAAATACCTCTACTGAAACTTTATGAGGAGGTTAAATTAATGAGTGTAAAGTATATTAAAGTTATATTAGAAATAACTTTGCACCGGTGAAATGAATGTTTTTCAAACATCTTATTAATTTAATAATTGCATAGCAATTGCAATAACCAGCATGAAGAAGGTGCAAGATTGCTGCCAGCTAAGCAGTTAGCCTATCGCTTAGACTCTATGTCCAGAGCGCCATATATATTCCATATATTCCCTGGAAGAATACAAGAGAATCTCTGCCACCAAGACTAAATATTTTGAAGTTACGGCACCTGTGGCTCAAAGGAGTAGGGCACATCAGCCCCACATGCCAGAGGTCAAAAATCACAAAAAAAAAAAAAAAAACTTTCTGAAGAAT